AATGTCATACCCAATGGTAAAAAAAATTTCATTTTAATGAACAATTTCAATGTAAAACAAAGTCAAATGAACACTAAACTTTGATGAAAAAATGATTTTTTAGGAAACAATTTTTTTCCCTTTTTTTTTCCCCCTTTTTGGTAATGGAAACAAATTTTATAATCAATTGTGGAAACAATTATCATTTTAATAGACACTTTACATGTAAAATAAAGTCAAACAAATATAACATTTAAAAATTGTATCAATCAAATACACTTAATTAACAATTCCCTACAAAACATTTTCTAGACAATTATTTTCCCTGGAAATCATTTTCTTTCTACCCATTTTCCACCCTTGCAATCAAATGCACCCTAAAAGTCACCTAAAATTTCACTAAATTCACCAAAGTCACTTCTTTAAAAAGTCCTTAAAATTTTTTAATATTAAATTTTTTAGTTTCCATCTTAAACTGTTAGGGTCTGTTTGATTGCAAAGGTGGAAATAAAATGTTTTACTGGAAATTGAATTGTCTAGAAATTGTTTTACTAAGAATTGTAATTAATTGTGTTTGATTGGTATAATTTTTCACCTGAAAAATGTTGAAAGTTTGGTATCCGTTTGACTTCATTTTTTATAAAAATTGTCCATTAAAGTGATAATTTTTTCTACCATTGCGTCTAGAATTTGTTCCAATTACCAAAAAGTAAAAAAAAATTTAAACAATTAGAAAAAATTACCATATTCTTTTGACTTTGTTTTGTATAGAAATTGTCAACAAAAGTGTAAAATCTTTTTGCAATAGTTGATAGAATTTATTGTCATTGCTAAAAAAAAAAAAAGATGAAAATTGCTTTCCCACCTAATAGGTGGGAAAACAAATTCAAGAAAATGTGCAAAAAATGGTTGTACCTAGAAAAGGTAGGAAAAACAAAAGCTAAGAAAACTTTTGCAATCAAACACCATTAATTAGGTGAAGTTGGAAAACATTTTCTTTTTCCACCTAATTTTCTAGGCTATCAAGCACACCCTTAGATTAGTATTTTAATATTTAATCGATGTAAGATTTCGTTATGTTGAATGTCTTTTTTTCTTCTTTTTCAGGCTCTTGGGTGCTCCGATTGTGGCGCCTAGGCACCATTTTGGTTTATTTGTACACTTCACCCCTTTTACACCACCTCATCATACCTTTAAAACAACACTAACAAACATATCAAAAACGTACTATAATCATAAAATTTGGCTAACAATTAAGTTAGATTTATATAAAACTCGTGATTAAAAGTACACCTGTCAATATTTTAATATTTAATCGATGTAAGATTTTGTTCTTGCTATAAACCAAAAATTTATGTTTATTTTCGAGTTACACTTGTAGAACTAATCACATAAAATTAGAAATATCACAGGAGCATGATATAAGCTATAGAGCATAAGATAAATGTTTGCCACACGAGAATTTACACTGTATTAAGTGAGAAAAAAAAATTAAAAATCTTACTATTCATGTTAAGATTAGGTTCAAAATACTAGGCACTTTCTAAATAAAAAAACTATTTTGTAAAGCACAAAAGTAATAGAAAGCAAAAGGAACACAAGAATTTTTCGCCTTAAGACAAGATGTTCAGAATTTAAAAGTTCATAATCCCTTTTTGAGCTTTCGCCATCGGAATAAACCAGTGTATTAAGAACCGGAACCAAAAACACCGTCCAAGATACACTTTCAAAGCACTCAGTATGAATCACTCAAGATTTACACCAACAAGCATTTTTTTTTTTTTGCAAAACATCCTAGCTTGAAAATCCAAGCCGTAGGATATGAGTTTATTAATGAGAAACAAATACAATGCAAGGAGGGGGAAGAATGTACCTTACCTCCTAGAGAATTACAAGATGTACTCTATAGAATCTACTTATGTTTTACAAATCATGCAACAAAATTTAAGAATGTACCAATACAAGATCAGATTAGGAAACTAATCTAATAGTTTCCATGCCAATTTTATCTAGTTTGACAATTCCTTTGATTCTACCAATGAATTCATTAGCTTCAACAAATTTAAACTTTCTTTCACTATGTCCTTTTGTAGCAAACCGGTCAGCAGCTTGGTTTCCTTCTCTCCAAGTATGGGTAATTTTATTCTCCATTTTATCCAGAAGCCAACGAATGGATTGTAGTGTATATTGCACTCCCGTGGTCCTTTGTTTTGTTTAATCAATGTCAATGCCACTTTAGAGTCTGTCTCTACCCAGACTTCCCTGATTCCATGGTTCCAGCATAGTTACAGCCATGTTTCTATGGCTCTTAGTTCAGCTTCCATGATTGAGCATTCTCCATAATAATCATAGAATCCCCATGTTGCATTTCCCAAGTTGTTTCTCAATATTCCCCGACCTGCAGCCATAGAGTTAGATTTTAAAGCCCCGTCCGTGTTGAGTTTATACCATCCCATGTCAGGTTTATTCCATTTAACAGCTGTGGGTTTGTTGCACTTGCTATTCCTGGTCTATTTGATTCTCCCTGTCCTTTGAAGAGCATTGATCAAGACATATATTTGCTTGGTGATCTTGTCAGCCTTCATAGGGTGATGTTTGTGTTTAGCATTGTTCCTTGACATCCACAGAAACCAGATGATAATCAGTGGAACAATTGGCCTGATCTCACCTCTATTGTCTTTCTTCTGCAAAAACAAGTGCATAAACATTGCTCTTAGATGACAACATCTTATATCTTAAACATCCAGATCCCTACAGAAATTAGCCAGAATTCCTTAGCAATGGACCATCCAAGAATACATGGTTGATACTCTCAGAGTTACAGCAGCATTGACATTTGGAGGCTAATTGGATGCCATATTTATTCTGGATAATTTCCTCAACTGGTATCCAATTGTTCCAAAGTCTCCAGCCTAAAAAGGATATTTTTTGGGGAATTCTCTTATCCCATATCTATTTATATGCCAATTGTCTGGTCTTACTTTGCCTGAATAGATTAATACAAGAAGAGATTGTGAACTTTCCAGATGCATTGGGTTTCCAGAACATTTTATCCGGATCATTTGTAACCGGGATCTTCAAAATTTCAGTGACAACATCAACAGGTAGAATACTATTTAATGAAGAAGTATCCTATTCATTATTCTCTCTAAAATCCATAACAAGTTTTTCGTGGGATATATCATGTTTCAGTCTCCCTTGAATAGTCCCAGATTTAAGCCAGACATCATGTTGGAAGTTAGCTTTACCCTCATCAATTCTCCAAGCAATTTGAAGCTCAATTAAGTTTCTGGCTTTGATCATTCTTTTCCAAAGACCAGAATCTTGGTTGTTAATATTGACAACACTAGCATGATTGTTCCTGCAGTATTTAGCTTTCATCACCTGGCTCCAAAGTTATTTTGTTCCCTAAACTTCCACCATAGCTTGCAGTCATAGGTAATGTTCAAATCAGCAATAGAGTTGCGCCAATGCCCCCTTCTTCAATGGGATAGCAAATATTCTCCCAGGCCGTCCAATGGATTTTCTTACTCTGGCTAGACTCCCCCCATATGAAACCATTAAGCATTCTGGAAATTTTATTGATGATGCATTTTGGCGGTTCAAGGATTTGTAATAAGTGCATTGACATAGAGCTCAGCACATGTTTAATCAAAGTAATTATGCCACCTGCAGAAAGCCATCTATGCTCCTATCCAAGTAACCTTCTTTTCATTTTGTTGATCAATTCCTCAAATAAAGCAGCCTTCTTATGTCCTTTATATAGAGGAACTCCAAGATATATCAGAGGCAGAGGTTGGTACTGAAAGCCAGTATTTTCAGCAATAACTTTTCTGTAGGCTTCCTTTTTAGTGGTAAATGAGCTTTTATTACAGTTGATATCCTGTCCAGAATTAGCAGTATAGATTTTGATAAACTCCATGATTTTATTCAATGCAGGTTTTTAGCCGTTGGTGAATATGACAATGTCGTCCGCAAAAGCCAGGTGTGATATTGGAATAATACCACCGTATCTGAAATGCAATTCTTTATATCTAGAGAATAGATTATCCAGTCCCCTTGATAAACACTCAACCAAAATGATGAATAGTGAGGGTGAGATTGGGTCTCCTTGTCTCAGCTCTCTAGTGGATTTGAAATATCCCTTTAGCTCTCCATCGATCAAGATAGAAAAATTGTAGTTATTAATGCTCCTTTTGATTTTCTTAATTCATTGTTGGTTAAATCCAAACTTTTCCATGAACTTATATAGGAATTTCCAGTCAACCTTATCATAGGCCTTAGCCATATCAAGTTTTAAGACCACATATCCTCATCTTGTCTTCCTATCAACCCTCAACATATACAAATCACTCAAAATCTATACAACTGAATTTCCTAACAGATCAACACACGACTTTCTGCATTTTTGAGTGAATGAAAGAGACAATAGAATAATAAAAGTCACACACACACACACACAAAGAGAGAGAATGAATGAATAATCCCATCAAACCCAAGGTACATGAACGGGTTATAGAAGTCACCAGAGGTCACCATCCAACGATGTAGAAGATAACACTTGGCGACACTAAGCCCTTGATTCCCATTAAAGAAAATGCATTCCACATAAAGTGCTTTTTTAATGAATTAGGCAGCAGTCAACAAGTCAACAAACACCCTGTCAAAGCATCAAAATAATAATCCAGTCAGCTGATTAAAAAGCCATCATTGTGCCACATGTATTTCTTCACAATTCAGCCTGTTCAATATTGTGCATTAAACATTAATATTAAAATCTACTAAAAATTTCAAGTCAAGATCAGCAATTAATTTAAATCACACATGTCATTGAATCCACAACTTTTCAATCACATATTTTATTAATTTTAATCAAAATCTACTAAAATTTTTATTTTAATCCACACCAAACGGGGCTTAGTTTCACTTGATAAATTCTATTAATAATGTGAAATTAATCTCTTAATACTTTTGGTGGGCGGCATGTCTCATTCTTCGCCAAATGCTAGGGGCACCAAAAGATGGGTTTCAAGTTGACTTTGAATAAGTCGAACATTTCTCAATTCAAGTCTACATGCTATCCATTATCAGGCTCATTATCAGGCTCACCACAGTTACAGAGAATGGATCAAAATCAATTGAAGAGTGTATCTGATGATCCAATTCAAAGAGAAATAGAAAAACTAGATGAAACAAATAAGAAACAAGAATGGAGAATCCAAAATCTGGAAGCAAAGGCAGTACAAAATATCAACTTATATTTTGTATTCCAAGCAGTTATTCTTGCATCCTCCTCCGCCGCCAATTACCGCAACTGGTGGATTCCGGCCACTCTATCAGTTCTTGCGGCAACCCATAATCTGTTTACATTCTGTGCTGCCATGTATAAAGTTGTTAAATCCAGGGAAGAACTTGATCAGAACATGGTGGACCTTGCATTCATGAAGGTGTATCAAATGACAAAAGCTCAGATCAATCAGGTTTTGCCGGGGACTCCGTTGAATCATCGTAGAGGAGAAATCGTTCGGCCGATGCCCAGCTCAGCCCGGAGGTGGCGCCGCCGCCTGCTGCTTTGTTTTTCAGTTGGCTTGTTTATTGGCTTCAGCTCTGTGGTTATGTATGGTTGCCATACTCTATTGCGCCATCCAGGTGATAGAAAGTGTGTCAACGGTTGCTAATATCTGTTTCTATATATTAATTATCGGAAATCAATATGAAATATATGTTTATATATTTTTATATGACATTTTTCTAGACAATTATGAACACATAGCTAAGTGGAGTTTCCAGGAAAGGTCCACTTTGTGTGGCTGGAGAACATTTCAGATATTTTACTAATCTGTATTGAAAAGTTTGATGTTGCAAGTAGGCAACTTTGGCCAATTATTTAAGTAGATTCGTTAATTAATTTAAATGGTTTGAAGATCGAACTTTGCAAGGAGATAATCGCAGTCTAATTAGTCGTTCAAAATTAGTCTTGAACGAAAGTGAAATTGATGGTACATCCCACGGAAGGGGGTATATTGCACCACCAATAACCTGTGTTGAATACATAATCTTCAAAAGAAATGTTAATGGTCACTAGTTGTCTGGTCCCATTTTTATTAAATATATTTGACTAACACATGCACATGAATTCATTATTTAATATTTATTAAGATATGTTCAAAAGTAAGATATGTTTATACGTTACCCAGAGGCGGATGCACAGATTTTGAGTTAGATTTTGAGTTAAGAGGCACGATCAAACTTTCAGAAAAATTGTGAGGAATTTTACATTCAAAAATTTACATCTAAAAAAATATTATATCCCATGTAAATTTACATCCGAAAATGTACATGGGTATGAGTTTTTCGGATGTAAAATTTCGAAAATTCTTGCTGCCATACCCCATGTAAAATTTACTAAATAATTATGTAAGTTATATTGAGAAATTTTTCGTGCAAAAATAATCAATGTTAATGAAATAATGACATACCTTTAACTATTTTCAATGTCCATTTAGACCATTCAATGTCTATGATGTAGTTCTCGAAACAAGTTTCGAGATGATGTAAACGATTTTTGGATTCGGCGAGCGTACGATCGTCGGAGAATTTTTAAAATGAACACGTTATTTAAATTTTCAAAATATTTGTTTGAAACGACTTACTTCGACAAGAAGTAACATTTGCTATGATTAGCCGTGAGCACCTCAAAATGTTATTAAGAATATAATATTTTGACTTCATTTGGCATCCCCGTAACAACTTCTAAAATTGAGACAAAAAAAATATTTGCCCAAAAGTTAGGGATCACATGACCCAGGCCACCCCTTGTGTCCGCCCTGGGTGTAGGTAAAGAGTCAATCTTGAGTAAGGCTTAAGTGAGCAAATTTTTTTTTTTTTTGTCTATTATTTCTTATGCAAGAGCCCACCAAACTAGCAGCACAACTTGTGTAAAAGCCAGACAATTGTGGGCTTATGTGGAATTTTATGTAAACTAAAGCCAGTTAATTCAAGAACAATATTTTGATGGGAAAAATTAGCAGTCACATAATACACCATTTGTGGGCCACAATCAAATACTTAATCGCAAATCACAATTTAATAGGTCACAAATTACCTAATCGACTAGTCATACATTCTATTCACCTCACCCCATCCAACTCCACCATTGTCGACACTATCCATATCGCAGGCATCATCTCAAATCCACAACTACCACTCCACCTCCACCTCCACCTCCGCCTCTACCACCCAAATACTCTAAAATCAAATTTGTATAATCTAAACATTGCCAGTGTCGATGCTCATTGCCGCTACAGTCAACACAGTGTCATCACCTCAAATTTACTACCACCACACTACATTCTCCTTAACCACCACCACCTCAAATTCACCACCCCCAAAATATTTCACAATCAGATATGTATATTGCTATAAACAACGAAGAACATACCGGATAATTTCGATACCAATTTGTTGTGATAATATGCAAGAAAATAATATGACAAATATGAAGCAGTTAATCACAAACTCAAGAACAAAATAATTGGCAGAGGAATGAAAATTTCACTGAAATACGGAGAAAGAATTACAATGATAATATGCAAGAAAATAATGTAGACTTAGTGATGTGATGTCTCAGTCAAGAAGATGAGGTTACGTGGTCTTGATCCAACAAACACCACGTTGCCAAAACACTATAAATAGGTGGTCTTTGTAAATTGTAGGGGGTTGGATGATTGAATGGTCATATGATTACCAATTCTAATACACAAAGAAAAACTCAATTGACCTCCTTGTTTGTTCTATATTTATCAGTTTGATCTTAAGGTTATGGACGCTTTGTCGGTGATTGTTTGTTTGCGCAATCATTCTAGTCACTACCGTTAATGCTCGAACACTTTTGTCTCACGCCGTAAAGCATATCCCAAGTTCACGTGTTCTTCTTCTCTCACTGGTCCTCTGGTCAAAATGAGCTGGAATTTGCTTGAGTTGGTGTGAGTGGGCCCGATATTTATTGTCCACATTTGCATCACATTTTTCGAGGTAAACAAATCGGCGCAGCCTGTGACACATTTTAACGACAAAAATCCAGTGGGAAAAAGCCAGTTGGAAACAAATCTTACAATGAAGTGATTTTCAAACATAAATTGTTCGATTGGAAGCTAGTCTAGGAATATCATTTGTCCAGAAAAAGTTTATCGCCATGAGTTCAAACAATGAAGGATCTGCAACTCAGAGGGCTAGGGAACACCCTGAAGAAGAGAAACCCTTGTATGTTGTCTCGGCTACTTGCCATAGACTTTACCAGCATCACAGACGAGGTGGGTCTAGGATAGTCGCCAAGTTCACTAGGGAGGTTGTCACAATGGTTGCAAATATAAGAGACATAACCCAACAGAACATAGTTATGCATGAACTGTTGATGAGCATGCAGGGCCAATGAGGATACCCAGTCCCTCCATATGTAGCCCAAGGAAATGCATTCCACGACTTACAATGAGATTACTACCACGACAAAGAGGAGGTTCAAAGCCAAATGGTTGACTATCTATACTATGTAAAGGAAGAAGTTCCCCACAAAAGAAAGTTGTGGTTGATACATCCACAGCACTAACCAACACACTGAGTTCCACATAACTTTCCTCCAAACTACTATCCGAAGGACATGTAACAAGGTCGATAAGTATCTTTGACAGGCCGAGCCCAGGGCTGCATAGAAAGAAGCAGGCTCAACCTCCTCTTGTACTTAGAAACAGGCAGCAAGAACTTTCCTGGTTTGAAAGGCATGAACCAAGTTATGATGAAGTACCTTGGAGTTATGATGAAGTACCTCGGATCCTCTCCTAGAATTAGGCGAGAAAAGAGAACGGAACATTTTAGGAGCCATGCAGGACCTTCCCAACCACCTCCAGAAACTCAGGTGGGGAAAGATAAAGATTCAGATAGTCAACGAAGGTCCTGCGATCTTGACGACGATGATGACAATTACCATTTTCCCAAGGGATTAGGAATGCCCCTATACATAACCACTTCACTCTTCCTAAGGTCCTCAAATATGATGGAAAAAGCGACCCTGCAAAACATCTCAATAGAATGTTCCACTTAATCCTAGGTAGAGCAGCTGAAGTATGGTACACCAGGATTTCGAAAGGAAGTATCCAAAGTTGGCCAAATTTCAAGAAGACTTTCCTTAAGTGCTTTACAACCAACAAAGAGGATGAAGGGCCAATACATCATTTACACGACATGAGACAGTAGCAAGGCGAGTCATTACAAAGCTTCTTGTCTCGTTTTACTGAAAAGATGACCTACTATGTGCAAGTGACAGATAAGGAAGCTTTGACGACCTTAAGGAGAGAACTAGATATGAACTCTCTCTTCTGAAGAGATGTGGAAAACAAAGACCCTACCAGTTATGACGCCTTACTGGAAATGATAAAGAGTGAGATCATCAATGAAGAATTGAGAGATCACATAAATAAGGCAAACTAATGACTTTCACCTGCTCAAAGACAAAGAGAAAAAGGTCCAACCTCACATTTGATAGATCACCGATTGGACAGACGACCCCTTTCAATCTAGGACAGGTATTGGCCGTAGTAACTTTAAATGGAATGCCTAATTTAGCTTACGAGAAAGTGAATCTTGGTACTGAAATGTACCAAGGCAGGACCCACCAACATTTTCCCTAAATAGGGAGAGGTATGAGGCGAAGCGCTAAACTTAGAAATAGGGACGAAGCGCCCCTCTATTGTACATACCTCCACTCTTATAGCCATAACACTACTGGGTGTAGAGATATTGCAATGCACCCCCAGAACAACAACCCATGAATGATGAGTCGAGGCGCCCTAATAGAGACAATGTCCCTTAAAGGAGAGATAATGATGGGCAGAGACCCAGGGATGGTCAAAGGCAGAGAAGAAGCCCCCTAGGTCATATTGGCCGTGAACCCCTCAGAGAAATTGATAAAATTTTTAGAGGCCTATATGTTGGAGAAGAATCCACGGACTCCCAAAGAACCAATGTAAAAGAAGCAATGAATCTCCCAAGACGGTCGATCTTCCTAGTAAGCAACTATCGATCTTCCAGCGGGAGAATGGCTCAACCCATCACCTTATCCTAAGATGACTCAAGTGGTGTACATTACCTACATTGTGATACCCTAGTGGCGATGGTCGTTGTAGCTCGCAATGGCCTAAAAAGAATGCTAGTGGATAATGGAAGCTCTATCAACATCATCTTTTGAGCAACATTTGATAAAATGGAAGTTGACCACAAGCTGACCCCAATGAATTCACCCTTGTATATCTTTATTAGCAACAGTATCATCCCAAGGGGTAAAATCTCTCTAGCAATAAAGATGGGAACAACATCCTTTTTTTGTTAGAGGAGGGCGGAACCTCCAATATTTTATTAATATGCCCTTAGTTATGACAGATGAATATCGTGGTTACATGAGTAAATAATGAAAGCAGTAAATGAGGATGTACTACTTTCCTTACAATGAAAATAAATGATAAAGGAAAAATCTAAAAAATGAAGTACTACTTCCCTTACAATAAGAACTAATGCAATTGAAGAAAAAAATAAGAATAAAAAAAAATCATACTTTAAGGTTGGGCAGTCCATGTCTATCAATATGCATGAGTGTCCTAATATGTCGTGGTAGGTTAACTACTCCATA